GCGGATGTGGGCTGCCATCTTGACTGCCAGACCCGACCTCTGCTGGGTCTTCTAGCCCCTGCCCGGAAACTGGATATGCCACCCCTGCCCTGCTTTAGATTTCAAAATATCTCATATCACAAATGTAGAACTCTGTATTTGTTTTCTATTTGTTTAGTAACTGCCTCTCCTAGAAAACCACAAGCTGCCTGGTCTCAGGAAGTGTACTTGCTTTGTTTGTCACTCCACACAGCACCTTGTACTCTGTCTGGACAAAGGATGGTACTATAGTTAGAAAGAATTGGTTTTGAGTCTTGGCTCCATGGTGCATTTATACATTTATATAGATGTGTGTCTTTTTTTTTTTTTTTTTTTAAGTAGGTTCCACACCCAGTGTGGAGCCCAGCCTGGGGCTTGAACTCACCACCCTGAGATTAAGACCTGAGCCGATGTCAACAGTTAGATGCTTAACCGACTGAGCCATCCAAGCACCCCTGAATAGACGTGTGTCTTTAGGGCAATGCATATCATCTCTCTTAGCCTTAGTTTTATTATTTGTGTGATGAGTTTGATAATCATACCCTCTCCCAGCTTTTATTTTTTATTTATTTTTTATTTATTTTTAAACTTTTTATTTATTTATTCATGAGAGACAGAGAGAGAGAGAGAGAGAGAGGCAGAGGGAGAAGCAGGCTCCCAAGGAGCAGGGAGCCCGATGCGGGACTCGATCCCAGGACCCCGGGATCATGACCTGAGCCGAAGGCAGACGCTTAACCATCTGAGCCACCCAGGCGCCCCCAGCTTTTATTTTTTAAAGAATGTAATGCAATTCATATAAATACTAAGGGCTGGTCAATCTTAATTATTGAACTTTTAATAATAAATTAATGGGTAAGTGATAAAAGTTCCATCAGGGCCAGTCCCCTTGTGGTCCTTGGCTGTCCCCCCTGCCCCCAGACCCTATTGACCAGCTCTCAGCCCACCCTCTTCCTTCCACTCAGGCACATCGGCACCAGTCCTGGACGGACAGCCCTGCAGACCACCCAGCTCCTGCCGATGCTCGCCCCATTTCAAGAGAGGAGCAGGAACTCCACTATGCTCTCCTCAGATTTCCCAAGCTGAAGCCTCAGGAATAGGAAAGCATCCACACGGAGTACACAGAGATCAAGACACACAAGTGAGGAACTGCTTTTCTCATAGTTCTGGAGACTGGGAGCCTGAGATCAACGGGTCAGCAGAGGACTCTCTCCTTGGCTTGTAGATGGCTGTCTTCTCTCTGTGTGAGTCTGTGTCCTAGTTTCTTCCTCTTATAAGGACACCAGATGTTCTGGATTAAGGCCCACACTAGTGACCTCATTTTAACTGAAATTGCCTCTTTAAATACCCTCTTTCCTACAGTCTCATTCTGAGGTACGGGGGATTAGGACTTCAACATACTCATCCTATGATTTCTCGACCTGGACTATTTTAAAATTAATGGCCTTCTTCACAATGGTTTGAATCTCCTAGTATGTGTGGAAGACCCCAGGACTTGTGTCCAGAAGGACTGAGTTCCAATCCGTCTATGCCATGGATCACTTTATGACTCACTTTACTGTTCTACAAATCAGGGAAGTCATCCTTATCTAGCCACCTGATCGCGAAAGATCTGTGAGAGGCTACAGATAAAACAGTTAAGTCCTGACACAGAGCTTTCTGTGAACTCTGAAGACGTGTGTGTGTCAGGACTTCCGTTAGACGCTTTAACAGAAAGTTTTCTGCTAACGATTTCTCTGAAGGCTTGGAGGGGCCAGTCCCAGACGTCACAGAACTTTCCCACCAGGATCAAACACAAGGAAGGATAGCAGCCCTTACCACTTCTATTAAACAGTATTTTGTAGATCCTTTCCAGTGCAATAAAGGCAAGAAATAGAAATAAGCGTTATCCAGATCATAAAGTAAGATGCAAAACAGTTTTGGGGCGCCTGGGTGGCTCCATCAGTTAAACGTCTGACTTCGGGGTCATGATCTCAGGGTCCTAGGATTGAGCCCTGAGTCAGGCTCTGCCCTCAGCGGGAAGTCTGCTTGTCCCTTTGCCTGCACTCCCCCGGCTTGTGCTCTCTCTCTCTCTCTTGCTCTCTCTCTCGCTTGCTCTTGCTCTCAAGTAAATAAATAAAAAATTTTAAAAATAATAAATAATTTAAAAAAAGAAGAATGGATGAGCGAACTGCGGTGTAGATTCACAAGTGGAATATCGTGCAGTCGCCACAGGGATGACGCTTGAAAACAAGGGTCTAAAGGAAAAAGCCAGACACTAAAGGACAAACAGTGTTTGATTCTGCTTCTCTGAGCTACCCAGGACAGGCAAACCCATGGAAACAGGAAGTAGAATGGGGGTTGCTCAGAGCTCAGGGCCAGAGGTGGGCGGGGGCTGTTGGATAACTGTGCGGAGTTTCTGTTGGGGATGATGAAAACGTTCTGGAGAGAGGCAGTGGTGACGGTTGCACCACACTGTGAGTGCACTTAGTGTCACTGAATTGCACCCTACACAGTGTTAAAAATGGCAAGTTTTATTTTTGCAAATATTTTACCACAAAAAACCTCAAGGGAATGGGAAGATGCTGTCATTATGGAGACAAGAATAAAAAAGGTAAATAATAAATAAAATTAGAGTGTATCACCTACGGATCCAGGCGTGGAGGAAAAGCTCTCAGGCGCATCGGGCTGGGTTTCCTGGAGCTGAGAGGCTATGGAGGTGATATTGGAACAAAGACTCCAAGGTAGGGAAGAAGCAAACTCTTTGCTTGCCTAAGAGGAAGGTATTCCAGGAAGACGGGAAGAGGGGACCGGTGAGTGTGGTGGTTCTGAGGCTGACAGCACAGGAGTGCAAATGTGGGGGAGCCCGGAGGATGGCACGGACCCCGTGGAAGACCACTGCAGCCCACCGCAGGATTCTGGAAGCCTTTGTGGAGAGCAGACACATGCTGAGACCCTCGTTTTAGCAGGGTCCCCATGGCTACTCTGTTCAGAATCAGCCAGACTGGGCCCAGGGCAGCAAAAAAGAGATGCACAGCCCTGGGGTGGGGGTGAGGGTACAGGCAGGAGGTGGTGGTGTGCTGGGCCAGGGATGCGGTGTAGGTGGGGAGGATACATTTTGGATATATCCAACAGGTCAAGCCAACAGCATGTTCTAATGGATGTAAGGGGTGGGGTGAAAGGAAGGAGCAAGGACGATGCCCAGTGTCTCCCCTGAGCAGCTAGAAGGACAGAGTCCTGTTCCGGGGAGGACTTCAGACAGCCGGGGTTTGAAGGGTGATGTTCATTCTGAGAAGCCACTTGACACCGAACTGGGGATGTCAGGGAGAGAGCGGGAGTATGAATATCCAGAATCAGAGGCGGGATCCAGACTGGAGACGTTAAAATACACAGCTTACGTGATGTGATAATAGAACAAGTTAATGAAAGAGTATGACCTTTCCTCAAGAAATTAGTAATAGAATCACCATATGATCCAACAATTCCACATCTGGGTGCATATCCAAAAGAATGAAGAGCAGGGGCCGAGAGGTATTTGCACACCTGTGTTCATAGCAGCGTTATGCACAAGAGCCAAAAAGTAAAAGCAATTCAAGTGTCCCTCAGCAGCTGAACGGATAAAAAAGTGTGGCCTAGACTACCATGGAATATTTTTTTAAAAGATTTTTTAAATTTAATTATTTGACAGAGAGAGAAAGAGTACAAGCAGGGGAGCAGCAGAAGGAGAGGGAGAAGCAGGCTCCCCGCGGAGCAGGGAGCCCGATGCGGGGCTCGATCCCAGGACCCCGAGATCATGACCTGAGCCGAAGGCAGACGCTTAACTGACTGAGCCACCCAGGCGCCCCTACCGTGGAATATTATTCAGCCTTTTTTAAAAAGGGACGGAAATTCTGACATGTGCTGCCACATGGATGCACCTTGAGGACGTTATAGTAGGTTAAACAAGCCAATCACGAAGACAGGTACTGGATGACTCCACTTATGTGAGGTCTCAAAAGTAGTCAAATTCCTGGAGACAGAAATTGCAGCAGTGGTTTTAGGGGCTGGGAGGAGCGGGGAATGAGGAGTTGTTCTTTAATGGGTATGGTTCAAGTCCTGCCGCTTGAAAAGAGTTGCCCTCGTTTACTACATGTCAAAAATAATCTCGTACTCATATTTTTAGAAAATATCTAAATTTAGGACATATGGCAAAGTCACAGGTGCCTGCAGCTCTGAACCCCGCAGGGACAGCACTGTGTGTCTGGGGAGGAAGTGGCACCCTGGGTGGGGACCATGTCACGGGACGGAGCAGGTCAGGCCCAGCTGTCTTGTCTCCAGTTTCCCCAACACAGATGTTCACTAAGCATTTGGGGAATGAGTGAATGAGTGAATGAGTGAATGAATGAATGGCTCCTGCCTTCTCTTCACCCAGGATCCCTTCTCTTCTTCTGCCCCAGAGGCTCACACAGACCTAAAGCATCCTCTACCTTGCAGGACAGAACACCCGAGGGTCTAGATGAGTCTGTGACCTTCCAGGTCTAGCCAGGAGTTGACCAGCTCCCTGGTGTAGACGATGCTGCTCAGACAAGGCCCGCAGGTGGGAAGACCTTGGGAGATCCACTGTGTCCCGTGCCTCACATGTCCTCAGAGGTCCTGGTCCAGTCTCCGGTGCCAGAGGGAGGTGCCGAGATGGGGGGCAGGACACGGGGTCTGCTGCTGGTCTCTCCTCCCTGGATGGGGCTCCCTGGTCTCTGGCAGGCAGGGGACGGGGGTCACTGGCTTTGTGCAGAGATAGGGGGAGCTCTGGCACTGAAGTTCCTCATCTGAGAACCGCAGGGCCTTGTGCCTCTCCCCAGCTTCCTGTGGGTCCCTCACAACCCTCCACACTCTCCACTTCTTCACCCACAGGAAGCCCACACATCTTCCATCTCAAAGATGCTGCCGCCGCCACTTTTTCTGCCCCTGCTGTGGGCAGGTGAGTGGGCCGGGGTGCGGGGCAGGCGGGCGGGGGCTGCTGCCGACCCTCGATTCCCCACAGGGCCCCTGGCTCAGCGTTCAGGATTCTGGCTGAAAGAGCCGGCGTCCCTGACGGTGCAGGAGGGCCTGTGTGTGCATGTGCCCGGCAGCTTCTCCTACCCCAGTATGTTCTGGGCTGTCTTTCCCTGCTCTCGGCTACTGGTTCCGGGAAGGGGCCAGTGTACACCAGGATGCTCCAGTGGCCACAAACAACCCAGATCGAGAAGTGCAGGAGGAGACCCAGGGCCGATTCCACCTCCTCGGGGGCCCCCGGGGCTACAACTGCTCCCTGGGCATCAGAGATGCACAGAGAAGGGACTCGGGGACATACTTCTTCAGGGTGGAGAGAGGGCCTTATGTGCAATATAGTTACCTGCAGAACCAGCTCTCCGTGCGTGTGACGGGTAAGGAGCGGGGTCCAGGAGAGGACACATGTCCCATGCATGGGTCCTGAGGGCTCCTGGGGCAGGGCTGGGAAGGGACCCCCCTGATCTCCATCCTGGCTGGGGAGGAGACGACTGCCCTGGGGTAGAGGCTGCTTCCAGGGGCACACTCAGGGTCCCACTCCAGGATCTCTGTCTCTCTCCTCCTCAGCTCTGACACAGATACCTGACATCCACACCCAGGGGCCCCTAGAATCTGACCACCCCAAGAACATTACCTGTAGTGTGCCATGGGCCTGTAAGAGGGGGACACCCCCGACCTTCTCCTGGATCGGGGCCGCCCTCACCTCCAGGGGCTCCAAGACTCGCCACTCCTCCGTGCTCACCCTCACCCCGAGGCCCCAGGACCACGGCACCAACCTTACCTGTCGGGTGACCCTCCCCGGAGCTGGGGTGAGCACAGAGAGGACCATCCAGCCCACCGTGTCCTGTGAGTGCCAGGCCAGAACGCCAGGGTCCCTGAGGGCTGTGGGTGTTGGGGAGGGGGAGGCAGGGCTCGGAAAGGATACTTGGGGAGAGTTCTTAGAGGCACAGGATCAAGACAGAGAGAACACCCAGGCCCCAGCCCCTTGCTCACGGCCACTTCATCATACCGCAGGCGGCCAAGTGTTTGTTTCTGTCCCAGATGCTCCACGGAGCCTGACCATCCGCATCTTCAGAGGAAACAGCACAGGTGGGAGAGGCCCCCAGGGCACGACTGACGTCTCAGAAGGCAAATAAGGGACTGTTGTGAGGGTCTGACGCAATGAAGCCCCATCGTTCCTTATCCCCTCCCTGGTCCCAAGTCCGCCCCACACCCATGCCCTGGCTGGACTCTCCAGGGTCACTGTGAATCCTAGTTGGACCATTTGCTGTCACCGTGGCTGCTTCCTCTCTCCCCTCACTCTCCCGTCACACCCTTTACCTGATTCTCCGCTTCTCCTATGACCATGACATCTCACTGTCCCACCAGGAGCCTTAGATATAGGTTCCTATTGCTGGGGATTGGGCCTCCGGCTGCTTTTTGCCTGACCCCGTGGGTAAGCCTGGGCCCTGGTGCTTCTAGTCCTGTGTCTGCCCTGGAGACCCTCGCAAGTCTCTGTCCATCTCGGTCCAGTCCAGATCCTCCAGAGCCCCCTCCGCTGCCCTGGGGAGGCCCCTCCCGCCTGAGCAACCTGAGTCAACATCCTGGAAGTCACTTTAGACATTTCTGTGCCTCACCCAACACTCCCCATGACTCAGCAAGTTTTGCAAACTCAACTTCTGGAAAATGTCTCAAGTGGCCTCTCTTCCTCCATCCCTGCAGCGGCAGCCCCACCTCGGGCCTCCGCCTTCTCCCACCTGGACATAGTGAGACCATGTGCATCTGGACCAGCCTCCTCTCTGGCCTGCCAGTCTCTGCAACACCCCCCAGCCCACCACAACTCGGTCCAAAGGTGTCTCTACAATGCCCTGGATCTGGCCCCTGTTCCTCCCCTGCTCAGACCCTCCCATAGTTCCCTGTGGTTCTTAGAGGAAAGGCTGGGAGCATCACCTGTGTGTGAGCCTCCCAGTCTTGCCCTACAAGTGGTCAGACCTACGTGTGTCCACGCGCCTCCTCAGCATCACACATCAAAACCTACCTCCTGGGATGTCCTCTGCCAGGTCTAGACATGCCAACTCTTGCTCAGAGGTCCAGCCACCTGTTCTGGGGTCATCAGGTGCCTCTCCTTCTCCCCACCTCAACGGATGGATCTTCACTCCTACTTGCCTTTGCTTATAACACTTGTCTGAGAGACACTGTTTTCCACACCTGTGTCTGTGGAAGGGCAGAGGGAGAGAAGGGGCTCTCAGCCCTGCCCTTCTGGCCCTTCTCTGTCCCCTAGTCCCGGAGGTCCTGGGCAATGCCACTTCTCTTCGAGTTCAGGAGGGCCAGTCCCTGTGCCTGGTCTGTGACACTGGTGGCAACTTCCCTACCAGGCTGGGCTGGTCCCGGGGAATCCTGACCCTGCGCCCCTCCCAGCCCTCAAATCCCGGGGTCCTAGTGCTGCCCTGGACGGTCTTGGGTGATGGAGGAGAATTCACCTGCCGAGCTCAGCACTTGTGGAGCTCCTACCATGTTTCCCTCTGGAGAGCAGTGGAGCCCCTAGCCTCTAATCCTCACCCTACTCAGAGGGACCCTCATGGGGGCTGGCTTCCTCTTCACCTATGGCCTCACCTGGGTCTACTACACCGGGTGAGAAGCGCTTTCTCACAGTATCCCAGATTCTGGGACACCTTGGGTGGCTTCACTCTTCTTGTCCTCTTCAGAGAAAGCCATCCGCAGAACTGGTCTCTGATTTCAGAACTGTGTTTTCCCCGCAGGTTCAGAGGCTCCAAAGAGGATAAGGCTGCAAATTGTAACTGAGCCCTCTTCTTCATAGTGGTGCCCCCGTCCGGTGGATGAGGATCCGTCAAAGCACTGGATGCTGAGACTCACCCCTGTACAACTCTGTGGAGCAAGGAGGCCTGGACGCTGCCTCCTCTCCAGAAATAACATCTCTCTCCCTCTGGTCGTTAAGACTCTTCCTGCTGGTTCCAAATCTGTGGTGGGGAGGGCGAGTGAGGACATCTAGATAGATTTTTGTTATTATTAATTTGAATTATGCATACCCCATGTAATATATTGCTTCTGTGTGTTTATCTTGGATAAGCCCCAAATTCAACCCCATAATATATCGTTATAAATCTCATGATACATTATTTTTATTTTTTTTAAATAGCTTTCATTTTTTTTTAAAGATTTTTTGTATTTATTGGGAGAGAGAGAGAATGGTAGAGAGAGAGAGCACGAGAGGGAGGAGGGTCAGAGGGAGAAGCAGCCTCCCCGCCGAGCAGGGAGCCCGATGCGGGACTCGATCCCAGGACCCTGGCATCACGACCTGAGCCGAAGGCAGATGCTTAACGACTGAGCCACCCAGGCGCCCCTAGAAAGAAAGATATGATCCTGTTTGGAATTTGTTGAGTACCTTGGGTCTGTGGATTTACAATTATGATCAAATTTGTAAAAATTGAAGCCAATGTTAATTTCAATGTTTTTTTCCTATTCTTCCTCTCTCATCATCTCCGGGTCTCTCTTTTTACATGTGTAATGTGGCCTGATGCTATCACACAGGGCCCTGAACATGTGTTTGCCATTTTCCGGCCTTTTTTCCCCCCTCTATTTGCTGTTGGAACAGGATCTACTGCTACATCTTCAAGTTCGCTGATCATTCTTCTATAATGTTCAATCTGCTGTTGATCTCATTCAGTGGAACTCTCATCTCAGATAATGTATTTTCTTCTTTAAAAGTTACATTTCCTGGGGCGCCTGTGTGTCTCAGATGGTTAAGTGTCTGCCTTCAGCTCAGGTCATGATCCCAGGGTCCTGGGATCGAGCCCCACATCAGGAATCCCTGCTCAGTGGGGAGTCTGCCTCTCCCTCTTCCTCTGCTGCTTCCCCTGCTTGTGCTCTCTCTCTGACAAATAAATAAATAAAAATCTTTTTTAAAAAGTTACATTTCCTGGGGCTGCCTGAGTGGCTCAGTCGTTCAGTGTCCAACTTGTGATGTTGGCTCAGGTCATGCTCTCAGGGTCATGAGATCCAGCCCTGTGTTGGGCACTGCCCTCAGCACAGAATCTGCTTGAGATTCTCTCTCCCTCTCCCCCTGCCTCTCCCCCTGTTCTCTCACACGCATGTGTGTGTGCACGTGCACGCATGATCTCTCTCAAATAAATAAGATCTTTAAAAAAAGTTTCATTTCCTGTTTTTAATCTTATGCTTCTTGTTATATTATGGTAATGTTTTCGTTTACATCCTTGAGTATATCTGGCACATATTTTAATAACTCTTATGATGTCTTTGTCTCCTATTTCCACCTCCTGTGTCATGTCTGACCCTGATTCCCTTGGATGACTTTTCTCCTGTTGAGTATCAGGTGTTCATACTCCTTTGTATGTCTAGTAATTTTTCACTGAGTGCTGGACACTGTCAATTTTAAGTGTCTGACTGCTTGGTTTTGTTGTATTTCTTTAAAAACATTGGTCATTTTTTTTTTTTTAAGGCAGTCAAGTTACTTGCGTGTTGGGACAATATTTTTGTTTAAGATTATTTGACAGAGAGAGAGAGAGTGAAAGAGCACAAGCAGAGGTAGAGGGAAAGGGAGAAGCAAGCTCCCCGCTGAGCAGGGAGCTTGATGTGGGGATCAATCCCAGGATCCCAGAATCATGACCTGAGCTGAAGGCAGATGCTTACCGGACTGAGCCACCCAGGCACCCCTGGGCCAATATTTTTAAGACTCTTTAATTTTTAGCTCCTCCTAAGATAGGTCTAGGGTTGGGCTAATTTTTTTTCACTTGAGTGCCATGGCCCTTTTAGAGCTTTTACTGACTGCCCCATGGATTCAAGGAGGTATCTTCAGTCTGGCTGGAGGGAATATGCACAAGTGCAAGCCCTTTGTGAGCTCTGGGAATCTCCCATCTAACAGCTCTCCAGTAATTGCTTCTCTCCTTAGAAATTGTTCTTGTTTGGCCTCAGGGGGTTTCACCCTGTGCACATACAGATTGGTATTTTCCAACTACTCAAGGACCTTTCATGGAGACTTTGAACTCTTTCTCCACAAGACTCTCTCCTGTCTGAAACTCTGACCTACATATTTTAGCTACGTCTCTTTCCTTAACCTTCAGTGTCTGGCTCAACTCAGTGAAAGTTCAGTCCCTTTTATTGTGCCCCCATCCCCTTCTCACTTTGCGATCTGCAAACAACCTCCTCACAGAAAACCTGGGTGATTATAGGGTTTACTTCATTTTTGTCCTTCTCTCAAGAAGCACAGTTCTTCCCTATCTGTATTCCACGTATGAAAATAGAGGTTTCTTGTATTTTGTTTGGTATTCTAGCTGTTTACAGGAGGATAATTATGGGCCCTATTATCCCCTCATGCTTAGAAGCAGAAGTCCCCAGCAGACTTTTAATAACATTTTATTGAGGTATAACTTATGTCGTATAAAATTAATTCATTGTAAGTGTACAGTTCAATGATTTTTTGGTAAATTTATAGAGTTCCGTAGTCATTGTCACACATTTTGATTAGCCTAAAGAGGACCCTTATGCCCATTTGCAATCAATACCACTCCCTTCACAGCTCCAGGAAATCATTGATCTGCTTTCAATCTCTGATGAACTGTTTTTATGAATATTTCATATACATGAAATCACATGATATAAAGTCTATTGTGTCTGCTATTTTTCACAAAGACTTAAGTTTCTGAGGTTCAACCATGTTAGAGCACACACTCATAGTTAATAACATTATATTCTTAATATTATTACACTGTGTGAATATATATCACATTTCATTTATGCATTCACCGGTTGATAGACATTTCCATCATTCCCAGTTTTGGCTTTTAAGAATAATGTTGCTGGTTCCCCTTCTATCCCTATTCCAGTTCAGGATGATGGAAACTCCATTCCAGGTGGGTAGAGCAAGAACACAAGGCTCCGTCTCCTCCCAGGAAAGGCAGGCTGCCGGCACTTCTCATTCCTTGCCAGCTTTGTTGAAGAGGCTAAATTCCAGGTGAATACAGCTGAGAAGTCAGGGGCTCTCTTCTTCATGCTGCCCCTTATCCACAGGACAGTGGCTCTAACTCTGAACACTGGCGTTGATAAGGAAGGGCATGGTGGATGGTATTTTCTAGGATGACAGAAATATTTAGTATCTTTTTTTTAAGATTCTATTTATTTATCTGACGCAGAGGGACACAGCGAGAGAGGGAACACAAGCAGAGGGAGTGGGAGAGGGAGAAGCAGGCTTCCCACCGAGCAGGGAGCCTGATGCGGGGCTCCATCCCAGGACCCTGGGACCATGACCTGAGCTGAAGGCAGACCCTTAACGACTGAGCCTCCCAGGTGCCCCAGACAACAGAAATTTATTTCTCACAGTTCCAAAGGCTGAGAAATCCAAGATCAAGGCACCGACATATCCGGTGTCTGGTGAGAGCACATGTCTTGGTTCATAAAGGGCTTCTCAGTGGGTCCTCATGTGGCAGAAGGGACAAGGATGCTCTCCGGGGTCTCTTTTGTAAGGGCACAAATCTCATTCAGGAAACTACCCTCACAACCAAATCACCTCCCAAAGGTCCCATCTCCAAATACCACTGCCCTGGGGATTAGGGCTTCAGCATATGAATGTTGGGAGAGATACAACATTCAGTCCACAGCAAAGGTTAAAGCTGTAGTTGGTAAATATTATGCAGTCATTCATGTTACCCTGCACTGGGGGCTGCGGGAGGGGGCTATGTGGCCGTTTTGTGGCTTAAACAATGTTCTTGTTTGTGTCTGTGTTCAGGCATGTGACTACTATGGGATAGTCTCGTCCTTCTCTTGTTCCACCCCAGAGTGGGTTTGTCTGGGGTGAAATCCTGCGAAATCATTTATATTTAATAGGAGAACACCAGGGCCTGACTGTGAATGCCAGTGGGGGCTGCTTTACTCTTTATTAAGGGGGGGGGGGCAGTAACGGAGTAAAAAGATAAGAAGCTGGAGAATTAAACAGGGATCAGATCAGACAGCCTTGGGTTTTCACATAAAGAGTTGGTATTTCACTTTGGAAAACGGACACTTCACACTGACTGCCAAAACACATGCCAGTGAGTAACAATTTCGTCCGATAATAAAGTACTGAACTTGCAAAACTTTTCCTTTACTAGAAATTAGCGAATTCAAATTTCTCCTATAGTCATATTTTTTCTCACCTTCTTGCTTTTTAATATGCTATCTCAGCTTAAAGAGAAAAGGGTGAAGGCCCAGCTGAGAGCACAACCCCAACCCAGACAATGCGAAGATGGGACCTGATAACACCGCACGCTATAGACTGCGTCCCCCCAAAATCTGTATGTTGAAACCTCCCTTCCCCCACCATGTGATGGTCGCAGGAGGCGGTGCCTTGGAGAGATGATTAGGACGTGAGGGTGGACCTCTCATGAATGGGACTAGTGACCTTATAATAGAGGCCCCAGGGACTCCCTTGCCCCTTCCACCATGGGAGGGCGCGGATGTCCGGGAAACGGTCCTCTGTGAACCAGGAAGTGGGCTGCCACCAGACACGGAATCTGCCAGCTCCTTGATCTTGGACTTCCAGCCTCCAGGACTGTGAGAAGTGAGTGTTGGTTGCTTAAGCCACCCAGTTGGTGAGATCTCTGTTACAGCTGCCCAGACGAAGCCACCACAGGATTGCATTTTCTTCCCTGGCCCTCACATGGTGAGTGTGCCTCGGTGGGACCCCATCTGAGAATGATGTGTGAGCATGGGGCAGTACTGAAATGTTTTAAATCTGGAGAGGGTGGGTTGCTGTGAGGGAAGGACGGTGGTCACAGTGACTTCTTTAATAGGGCAGAGGCTTGGTTTATTGAAGGGCGGTGAAAGGAGCAGAGTCATAATTTGTAGGTGCAGTGAGAACGAATGCAGCCTTTTGGGAAGAGCCACGTTTGCAAAAATTGTTCAGCATCGGGGAAATATTCCCCGGAGAGCTGCAGTTCTCCAGGACCACCACCTACAGACCCTGGTGACTGGGGCTACACAGGGGTCCGTCAGCGCTGCGGGGACGGAGCGCCCCCTGGAGGCGGCGTGCTGCAATGCGGCAGAGGACGCGAGGCCCCTGGGACAGATCCTATCGGAACAGATGAGGAGGCTGGGGTGTGTGTGTGTTGGGGGGGTGTAGCGGGGGACGATAAGATGCCTCTTCCCCTAATAAAGGCTCCTCAGCACCCCCTCAGGGCCTCAACTACAGCCAGACCTGGACTCTTCATCCTCCACCGGGACCTTTCCCTACATCCCCGCGATGCATCGCTCCAGTCCTCGGGCCCACACCCCTGCACCCTTCCCAGGCAGCATCCTGAACTACCTCTCTCTCTCCGCTCCCAACCTCTCCCGCCCCATACTCCCCCACCTCCGTCTCACTTCCTCTCAACGTCTACCTTTGCCCCTGTTTTGACATCAGGGCAGAAGGAGCAGGTGCTCAACATTTGTTAATGAGTGGAGGGGGGAGGCCTGCAGAGCTGGGTGCTTGTCTGTCTTAAAGGAATAAGTTCAGAGAAAATCTGAACATTCTTGGGCAGAGAAAATAGATGCGAGGATAACCACAAAAGATTCTCCTGGCCTCGGGTAGCTGCCTGGCTCTTGTCTGGGCAAGGCTGGGGAGGGTTAGAGGAGATCCGGTCACACTGAGGAAGGGCGGAAAATTCTGAGGGGGCCCAGGAAGCCACAGGACGTTCAGAAGGCTGTGGGGGTGGGAAAACGTTGTGGGTGACTTGGAACTCTGAACAGTGGGAGGGGCAGCCACAACCCCAAGTATCACCCGCTCCCCCCCCCCGGCCCCGCGTGGGAATAAACTTGGTGCAGGGGAGAATCAGCGGCTGGGGGTTGCAGGGGATCACCGTCAGAACGCAGAAACAAAGCAAAAGAGAGTACAAAGTGAGTTTGGGGAGGTCATTGGAGATATGGTGAACAGTTGGGATTTTCTCCCAAAGATAACAAGACACCACTGAAATGTTTAAGTAAGAGAGAGACCTGGTTTGATTTCTATTTGAAAAATAACTCTGGGGCACCTGGGTGGCTCAGCTGGTTAAGCAACTGCCTTTGGCTCAGGTCATGATCCCAGGGTTCTGGGATCGAGTCCCGCATCCAGCTCCCTGCTCGGCGGGGAAGCCTGCTTCTCCCCCTGCCTCTCTCTCTCTCTCTCTCTCTCTCTCTCTCTCTGCTGTGTTGAGAAGCCACCAAGAAGGGAGCAGAGTAGAAGCAGGGAGGACAGTGAATCACTGCTGTCATACAGGTGAGTGAGGGCAGTGGCTTGGATCCGGGCAGTCATTCTCCATCAAGGGTGATTTTGCCATCCGGGGGACAGGTGGCAATGTCCGGGGACGTTTTTCAGTTGTCCCAGCTGGGGTGGACCGCTGCTACTAGCATCTGAAGAGTGAGGCCAGGACTGCTGTTGGATGTCCTGCCCCGCAACACCCCACCTCACCTCCCAGAATGATCGGACTCAAACTGTCAGTAGTGCCAAGATTGAGACATCTTGGACCAGGGTAAGGAATGGTAGTGGGGGTAGGAATAAGTGGATAGACTTTGTTAATACTTAAGGAGTTGAACTGATGGGTCTTGTGGGTGGCTACGTATGTTGTAAGGTAAGGAAGCCGTCAGGACTTGGTGCCACATAATGATCTTTAGACAGCTGAAAAGCAGGGTTGCGGTGAGAAATAGTCCTGCAGGAAGCATGTGAAGCTTGAGATGCCCATTATAGATTCCCGAGTAGGTGTCTAATGGAAGGGGAAGGGTCAGGGCTGAGATGCAATTTACAGTCATCGGCCTGTTTATTGTCGTTGTTGCGTTTTGTGATGATCTATTTCGGTTTGCTTTTAACTTCATTGTGAAGAAACTGTAGACTCACAGGAGGTTGCAAGGAAATGTTACAGGGACATCCCATGGACTTGAACCTCCCCCCTCCAATGTTATCATTTTTTTTTAAGATTTTATTTATTTGTCAGAGAGAGAGAGAGAGAGAGAGAGAGATGGGCAGGGGGAGTGGCAGGCAGAGGGAGAGGGAGAAGCAGACTCCCCCCCGGAGTAGGGAGCCTGACTCCGAGCTCTAGCCCAGGACCCCGGGGTCATGACCTGAGCTGAAGGCAGACACTTAACCGACTGAGCCACCCAGGCGCCCCCCAATGTTATCATCTTCCACAACTAAGTACAATATGAAAATCAAGGAATGGTCAGTAGCATGATCAGGTCAAGCCCATGTTAGGACCTAGGCATCCCTCCCTCCTTCTCCCTCTACTCTGTGGGAGGCCCTTTCTCTATGAGCTTCTCGTTGTGAAGTCCCTGGACAGGAGGCTCCCTGGGAGAAGGGACCCTGGGTCTCCCCTGCTAAAGCCCAGGTTGGGCAGTGGGGACCTGGATCAGAACGCAGAAGGTGGACATTAGGGACTGAATTGTGCCCCTGCCCCGTTCACATTTGGAGTCTTAACCCCAGTACCAGCGAATGTGACTATATTTGGAGACAGGGCCTTCAAAGGGGTAATTCAGTTAAAATGAGGTCATAGAGCAAGCGCAAATCCAGCAGGACTGGTGTCCTCTTAAGAAGACATCCAGGGGTGCCTGGGTGGCTCTGCCGGTGAAGAGTTAAACTCTTGATCTGAGCTCAGGTCTTGATCTCAGGGTCATGAGTTCAAGCCCCACGTTGGGCTCCGTGCTGGGCGTAGAGCCTACTTTAAAAAAAAAAGGAAAGAAAGAGAAAGAGATCAGAACACAGGCACACACAGAGGGATGACCATGGTGTTCTCACCCCCAAGGACAGAGGCCTGGGAAGAGACCAACCCTGCTGACACCTTGATCTCCGACTTCCAGCCTCCAGAGCGGTGGGGAAAATTTATTCCATTGTTTAAGCCATTCAGTCTGTGGTGCTTTGTTACAGCAGCCACAGCACATGAATTCAGTGGACATGACAAGGACAGAAGCAGCCACATGTCACCTCCCCCCGGGGAGACCTCTCCTGGCTGCCCAGGAAGAAGTGACCATGCCTTTCCTCATCACCATCTGTCCCAGCATCGGCTGGGGGGGGCGGGGGGAGCAGTTATGAGCACTTCAGTGCTTTTCTGTTTCTCAGAAGCTTCATTTACCAAACTGGATCCCCTTGCAGTCAGACACAGTGTCTAATTTGCCTGTGTCCCCAGCGTGCAGCATGGCACCTGCCACGGTCCAGGTCCCCAGGCGTGGAGGTTCAGTGGACCAACACATGTCTCTATGTGACCAAAGTCATTTCAAGGAGAAGGGCTGGGTGAGGGGGACAACATCCCGGAGTTTATCCCACTCATTCCCCATCCCCCTTACCTGTGGGTGCAGGTGTTCTCATCACAACGGGTATTATAAGTAAGTGCACCCAGGGGCGCCTGGGTGGCTCGGTCAGTTAAGCATCTGCCTTCGGCTCCGGTCATGATCCCAGGGTCCTGGGATGGAGCCCCGCATCGGGCTCCCTGCCCGGCGGGGAGCCTGCTTCTCCCTTTCCCCCTGCTTGTGAGCTTTCTCTCTCTTTCTCAAACAAATAAAAATCTAAAAAAAAACAAAAACAAAAACAAAAACCACACAAGTAAATGCATGCAATCTTAGGGCAGAAGCAGGGGAGCTAGAGAGGTGGACTAAGGTCTTGGGAGTCGGAGCCTCTGGTGGACCAGGGGATCAATGAGCCCACCAAGCGAGGACGAAGGGGTGGAACTGAGACCGGCCTAGGGTTACCAGAGTTAGCAACTAAAAACACATGGCATCTATTTAAATTTGAATTTCAGATATGAACAACAAATAACTTTTTTAAGATTTATTTATTTTAGAGAGAGAGAGAGAATATGTGCAGGGGGTAGGGCAGAGGGAGAGGGAGAGGGGAAGCAGGCTCCCTGCTCAGTGAGGAGCCTGCCGTGGGGCTCCATCCCAGGACCCAGGGATCATGACCTGAGCTGGAACTAAGAGTCCGATGCTTAAACAACGGAGCCACCCAGGTGCCCCACAACAAATAATTTTTTTTTAAAGATTTTGTGTATTTATTTGACAGAGAGAGACACAGCGAGAGAGGGAACACAAGCAGGGGGAGCGGGAGAGGGAGAAGCAGGCTTCCCGCAGAGCAGGGAGCCCGATGCGGGGCTCGATCCCAGGACCCTGGGACCATGACCTGAGCTGAAGGCAGTCGCTTAAGGACTGAGCCACCCGGGCGCCACCAACAAATAATTTTAATACAAGAATGTCCTATTGCAATATTTGGGACATACATCAAAGAAATTACTGTTTGACAGTAAACTTTAGGGGCACCTGGGTGGCCCAGTTGGTTAGGTGTCTGCCTTTGCCTCAGGTCATGATCTCTGGTCCTGGGGTCCAGCTTGGGTCAGGCTCCCTGCTCAGCGGGGAGTCTGCTTCTCCTTCCCCCTCTGCCCTTCCCCTCTGTTCATCCCCTCTCTCTGTCTCTCATGCTGTCTCTCAAATAAATAAAATCTTTTTAAAAATTAAAAAAAAAAAAAGAAAGTCAGCTTTAACTGGACATTCTGAATTTCAAGACCAGCCCTTTCCCCCACCCCCAAAATCCACCTCTGCACCAACTACCGTCCACAGGGGCCCCTGTCTGAAGAAGGGTTCACTGTGTACTTTCACTTCTGCTTCCTCAGTGACCCAGGGCCAAGTGGGAGCGCCCCTACCCTCCACCCACCCAGGCCCCATGGCCTCACAAGCCTTCCACTCCCTCCCCGGGGAGGTGGCTGCCAGAAGGACCAGCTCTGCAACCCTCAAGCACTAGGCAGGGCCCCAGGGAAGACCCAGAGTTCTAGTGGAAAAATGGTGGGGAGTGGTGAGGACAGGAAGTGTCATGTGGGGCTCAGAATCAGGAGCACATTTCACACATCAGGCGCCTGGGACTCAGCTTTCTCTGCTGGATGCTTCCTCTCTGCCCTTCCCATTGCCCGGCCCAGCGTCTGGGGGCAGGTCCAAGTGCCTCCTGGTGCAAAGATGCTCCTGCTGATGCTCTTGGCCCTGCTGTGGGGCGGTGAGTGGGCCGAGGGCTGGAAGGGGCCTGGGAGGGGCCTGGGAGGGAGCCGGGGCTGGGCAGTTGTAGCTTGAACCTCTCTGTCTCCCTCA